GGGCAACATGCCGATCTACACTAGCACAACCCAGTTTAAGTTTCAATGGGGATGTTGATGTGACAATTTCAGGCCAAGTCGAAACTGTGGTCCACTCCAGTCTGGATAATACATTTTGGGGGGCAAGGCTATGCGAAATTCAATGGAAACATGAGGCCTACTCATCAGAATGTTGGAAAATTGTACATTCAGCCCATCATCCCATTAAAGCAACTGGGGTGGGTACATTAAGTGTCTACAGAGAGGCTTGGAAGAATCTATTCTATGCGAAGAAAAGTTAAGTTTCGAAGAATAATTGAGCTTACTTCCATTTCGAGTTAAAGTGTTGAGTGAAGAGATTCGAAGTTCGGTTCCACCAGAAGACGACGCCCGATTCCTCTTGACCAGCTGTCGATTGGTTCTACTGGAACATTCATGGTGACGCTGTTTCCGAGGCAATCTCATTCGATTCCGGCGAAAAGGTGCTAAGCTTTCGTACGTCATCTGACGAAAGCTTAGCACCTTTTCGCCGGAATCGGAGGAGATTGCCTCGGAAACAGCGTCAGCACGAATCTTCCAATCGACAGCTGGTCGAGAGGAATCCGAAGTCGTCTTCTGGTGGAACCGAACTTCGAATCTCTTCACCATACATTTTCACTCGAAATGGAAGTAAGCTCAAGAATCTATTCTCTTCAGCACACTGCATTTTTACAGCACCTTTTCATGGTTTTTAGTTTATGAGTAGGTTTTCGAGATTACCAGTAGAAAATTTATACAAAGAAGATTCATCACGTATACAAAGACCAGGATGGTTTGGCCTTCTGTCGTGGTCGTGGTCTCATTTCATTTTATAAAAGTTGTTTGAGCTTGTTTTCGCAACTTCGTCATATTGGCAGGAAGACTTGGAAGAAAGCACCTTGTCCGGATTCTATAGTATGCATGCTGACATTCCCAGACATTTCGCAGGCATCGTGGTCGGTATCGTCATTGGGCCTTGCCATTCTTAGCATCACACTACAACTCGTCAGCGACACAAGGCGAGATACCACAACTGTTTAGCAGAAAATGGGTTAAATGATCCGCTTCACGTGTCTCTTTGACGAGTTGTGCTGTGGTGCTAAGAATGGCAAGGCTCACTGACGATGCCGGCGAAACGTGTTAGAATGCGCCACGTCCACGATGGACTCCGAAGAAGATGCGTTCCTCTAGGTCTTCCTGCCAATATTACAAGTTGAGAAAACAAGATGCAACAACTTTAATATTCATCCCGGTTCATTTAAGGACGAATTGTAGAATTTTCCCGCAATCATATGATGAGCCTCATGTTTCCATTGAATTTTATTGCCTGATTGAATTGGTGTAGTCCCTTTGACCTCTTTTAATTAAACGCCCTTCACACCCTTTGGATGTCTTGAGATAGTAGAACATATGAGTTGTATCCACCATATTTCGTTTAAGGCGATAGGTATTGGTAGTTGTTTTTTCCAACAATGATACGCGTAGAGCTGACGTTTCTATTGAATTTCACATAACTTTGCTTTCCAAAAAGTTGCTTTCATCCAGGTTTGGTTGCAGTTTCCACCTCGCATAAGTCTTATCAGCACCCCAAGTGGGATTCGAACCATGACAGTGCAGCGTGTAAGCTCGATACGTCAACCGCGACGTCACATTGCCACGAGTTCCTTTGGGTCATAAGGCAGATGTGAATCTCAAGGCATGCCAGGCATTTTCCATATCATATTCTTGTTGGGATTGTCAATGAGGTAAACGTATATTTGCTATAGCAATCAACGATATTACTTTTCTCTAAGTGAGTAGATTTTCGAGACTAACTGTAAATCAGATATAGGAGTTTTATTCAAAAATATGAAAATAGCAGAAAATATCCTTGTATCTGATTTTCACCTAGATTTGACTCATTTATTTATCAGTTTTCATATTCATTTTCACAATTTGGTTATGCTATCGAAATGGATCTCATATTTCTTTAGAAGTAGGCTCTCGAGACTACCAGTAGACCATAGATATGAGGTGTATTCACCCTATTTCGTTTAAGATAATAAGAGGCCATACGCTTCCATTGAATTTCGCATGACCAAAATGGTGACTGCATCTGAGACCTCGCATAGGTCTCATCCGCACCCCCGGTGGGACTCGAGCCATGAAAGTTCAGCACATGTTTTCGATACTGGCAGTCTCGAAAGCCTACTTATAAACGAAAAATAAGTAATGTAGTCGATTTCTATGGCAAATGCCAGATAGTGTGATGTGGAAAAATGCCTTGTCTTCCTTGAAATTCACACCTGACCTGTGCTCCAAGGGCAGTCGTGGCAACATGGCGTATTGGTTAACTTGTCGTGGTTCGAGTCCCGTAGGAGTTTTTGATGAGATCAGTTCAGGCGAGGTCGAATCCACAGTCTACCCTGGATGAGAATACCTTCTGGCGAATCAAGGCTACGTGAGCTCCAGTGGGAATATAAGGTCTATTCATAGAATTGTGGAAAAATTCAACTACCAGTCTCCTTATCACTTAAAAGGAAATAGGATAACGCACAAGCATCTTGTCTTTGATATTTTTTATTTTCGGATCATCAACTTGCAATAAGCTAATTACACAGTTTTTCACTGACGTTTACGATTATGAATATATCAAGTTAATGATCACATGCTAGAAATTGTCTTGCCTACTGACAGGTTGCGTTAATTTGAAGTCGCCTTGACAACAAGACGAAGTTGCGAATACGAGGTCAATGCATTACTTCACTTGCCTTGACAATGAGCAATTGTAAAGTCTTCACAACTCGTGTGACTTTGATGAATTTACAACAATGATCAGCTGAAATACTTTTGCATTTACTGGGCTACAGCAAGTAAAATGTAATGTCAGTATGTACCAGTTTTTCTCGGCTATCTGTCTGTTGGGTAAATAAGATTAATCGTGCTCGTATCTTCCGGCTTCTCACACGAAGCTTTCTTGACCTCCTAATGACCGTGCCTATTTGTGTTACTGCGACAAACAACCGGTTGATTCAAGAAGATCGGCTCAGTGACCACAAGTGCTTTACTTTTCCACTCACGTATGGGTATGATCTTTCGTGTCCGTCGCCATACGTCTCTGTTTATGCCCGCTATGCCTTCATATTCAGACGCCAGTCTTTGGGATGTCTATTCTCAGCTCACCACCTCGCCAAGTTTGTCGCGAAGACAATGGTACCACTTCGTTGTTATGATGTTTAGTTGACCTGTCGTCCTAACAGCAAGCCCCGGCCGGCTTGATCTGAGCTCCTGCCTTCAGATGGGCCCCTTTAGACATTTAGTCGTGGCCACCTTCACATTCTCGCAGGTCTCCGAAGCCGTGTATCCGTGTCGCTACGATACAGAACCAACGACATGAATACCCTTAGCCGACCCTGCGAATGCCTCTTTTGTTGTTGTTGTCTCTGTTTAGTTGTGTTCATTGTGTGACCTGTGTGTGTGTGTTTTTTTACAAAGGCAACTGGTGTTATACGAACAAGAGACGTCGCCAAGTTGATGGGCAGGCAGGTGTAACGGGTCAGACGCGGTCACATTGTCTTCAGCTGAGCTAGAACACGAAGAGAGCATGGGTCCATATAACGAGGAGACCGAGAGAAGGAAGCAAAAGAGAAATAGGCATGAAAGCAGGGAACACACAAGCATATTGGGCTGTATTAGCAACTAAATTTGGTTGAAACGACAGTGAACGCGATCATGGACCTCTGGTGTAGAGGTGTGAACACGACTGGAGGCAGGTGAAATGTCGCACACCTCTCTCGCCTTGGCCTCATCTCTTACCTCATCTATTCGCGCCCCTTTCGCTCGTTCTCCTTACAGCCCTAACAACAAGTCATTTCCTGTCGGTCTGATTTTGAGTCCGGCTCGCGCGTGGCTCAAAATATACATTGTAAGAGCGAATAGGCGAAGCGGTGGTAAAGTTTATATATATATA